GGTAATGTTCCATTTATGTTCAAACTGATATGGTGCCTAGCATTGTTGTGTTGCAAGAGAAAGACTGTCTATTTCTCTGGCCTAACTGTGCAAGTTAGAACCTTCAACATAGTCAGTGTCATGATGTAGTGGTCAGAGTTGATGGTTTGTCTAGGTTCCAGGAAATCCAGAAGGCTTAACCCTTTCCTATCCTGAAAGATAGTGCAAGTCACTCTAGCCACTGAGGACTGTCTTGAACTTTTCTTTGGTGGTAAATGCACTTGTTGCCACTGTGTGCACTGCCATTTTGACTCTGGCTTGTAGTGGTGACACCATTTCTTGTCACCAGTAATGATACAGTCTGGGAATCTGTCACTTTCAGCCTTGTATTGGTTCAAAAGCTCCTGAGAAGCTTGCTTGTGGTGTTTTCTGTTCCTGTGCGAGCATTTGTGGGGTCCACCTGGTGCAAACTTTGTATTATTCCAATATTGCCACCCTCATTTCCAGTGAATCAAAGCCAGTATTCAGCTCTATACGCAGTTCCATGTTTGTATTCTGCCACTTCACACAGATGAGCTCATTGAGACTCTTCATTTTGTGGTGCAGCAGCTGTGCATGGCCATCTGAAACAGGCTTGTCTTTCACATCATTAGTGCCACTGCTGAAATACACCATTCTGTTTCCTTATCCTCACATCTGCTGTTTGGTCTCTATTCAGCAAGAGTCAATGAATGTGAATGGATGCAATTTTTTCCATATCAAGGAGCACACCTCTGCTTCGTATGCGCTTCAGTGTCAGCTGCCATTTTGTCAGACTGCTCCTCTGCTGCCATCTGTAACAGCAACAACATATAATGGAATATCAATAGGAAGGTTCAACTTCTGCTGCCATTCCATCAATACCTGCCTTTGACATTGTGGGCCAACATAAAATAGGGCACATTGCTTTTGGAGCAGCCCTTATATCTACATACGATGTAATGGTGCTTAACTGCATAAAAATTATTCCAAGATCTCTTCCATGCACTACTTTTAAAATATTTGAGGCAACTTATGCCTGATCCTTGTCATTTTTTTTCCATTAATCATGGAATAGGAGCTTTCAAAAAGCTTGCTTATTCTTGCACGTTACATTATATACATATATATACAATATATATATATACAAGTTATAGCGTATCAGTCTCTTCCATGTGTTTAGAATACTCAGATAACATTTTACTGTATACGCTGCCTGCCTTATAATAAGGCCAATGTCACTTAAAAACTCTAAGCTTTCAGACTTTACCTCCCACATAATATATCTAGTGGTGATTCTACTGTAAAACTGAGCCTTTCTAAAGCCTTTCTAAAGCTTGTGCTTGTCACTAATTACATAAATCATCTGCACCGGTTTCATATGCCAACACAGAGTTCTAAGCACGATCTTACAAAATATATAACCCCGTTTTAGTAGCAACTGGTGATTAAAAATGGCAGATTTATGCACTTCACTGAAGACTTAAACACAGAAAAGCGCATACCCAAGAAAATGTAGACCAGTCAGATGAATGAAGATGTATTCGTTTGTATATTCACTCATTTACTGGATGTTAATGGCTGTGTATAAAATGAATTTAATGGCACTCCATCTCATTTCCCACATCAACAACTCCCAGTTAGGACTTGAATTAGTTGGCAGATGCAGGACAGCAGCCAAGAGCCTTGTGGCTATTATGACTGCAAGGTAATGCAGATCAAGGCAATGTGTGTCTGCCAGATATTGTGTTTGAGAAGTTAGTTCTTCCTTTTCCTGCACATAAACAGACGACTTCGTCACCACACAATGTTTCTCAGAAGTACTGAAACATTTTGTTACAGTCTTTTGAGACCGATTTCCTTCTGTATCTACCTGTTCTCAAAACTCTATTTTTTAATTCAGCACTGTTTTCTTATATTAGATAGCTTCCTTAGCTTTAAAATCTCATAAAAAATGAGATGATAATGTTTCCTTCTCAATACTGTGGTATTCTATGATGACTCTAAAACCAAAATGAAGTTTTAACTTGAAATAGGTATTAACAGAAGCCTTTTTAACAAATTAATTCATTATCATAAAAAATTTATTTGCAGAGGAAACAATCTGAAGAAGAAAGCCCTATGATGGTTTCTAGCATGGGCGCATTTATGAGAAACTGCCCCTCACCCCATGCCATTTTATTATTGAAAAGAGTAGTCTCCACCCCAAGCTGAAAGAATGGCACTGTGTTGCAAAGGGGTTTGAGCATCCTAGCTAGAAATAGATCAGAGTTGACATAAACAGGAGAAAGCATTTTGTTATTAGAATAGAATAAACATGTATAGTTTTGATTAATGAATTCTATTTGCTCAAGCACTTGTGATTTATAACACAATTTCTTTTATCATCTTTTGTATTCGGGATTCCTGAGTGAGATACATACATTTGCAAATATACAGTGTGCTACCTTTAGTGCCTTTCCGCTGAACACTCACATTTCCCACTCTGATACACTTGGATGTGTTGACTGATCATTTTGTTTTTAGCATTATATTAAAAGAAATACTTGACATAAAGCTCTAAAATATTAGTTGCTTCTCATATATTTCTTGGATAACTCGAAGGTCAGGAAATGTAAAGTGGTTGTTGTGTTTGCCATAATCACATGATGCATGTACATCTGCACCATTAAATGTCTTAGACAAATATTTAATATAACTGCTTACAATCAAAGCATAGTATCCTTCTCCTGACTGCCTATTACAATTACAGCAGTGTTTTCTTGATCGGCCCCTTCAAGCTGAGGTTTGTATAATGCAAAAGCAACCTTAATAATCCTATAATAGGGTCTCTTGCGTCATCAAGTTCTGATGTCTTCTACTTTAATCTTCTCTAGAACTTGCAGTCCTACCCAGCAGGACTCTTCAGTAAGACTCAGTAAGCTTCAGTCTTGCTTTCTCAATACAGTGACCGAGAAGTCTGTATCTGCCTCTACAGATCTCCATGACTTTTTTTACCTGCTATGTTCTTAAAGTTAAAACTCTTCTTTTTCGTAGAGGTCAGCAGCCAACTTACCCTCTGTTCACCCCTTGGCTCTCAATTGCCTCTAGCCTCAGACTTAAGCGAATCTGCAAGTAAGTTCTATTGCTGTAATCCTATCTCTTTACTTTACCAGGCATCTAGTATGAATTATGCAGTGTGAGAAAAACAGAGCTAGATGTTGTACTGTTTCCCAAGTTTAAATACGGTGTTCTGGGGTAAGATCTGCTCTTTTTTTCTGGGAAATTCTATCAGATTATATTTCCTCTCGTTCTGGATAGGTGTTTTCTCAAGAATATGTGTGGCTTTCTGCCAGGTCCTTCAGGAAATTCCTGCAGACTTTCTGGCAGGGGTTACTTCAGGAAATCTTTGATGATGTCTGGTTTCCTAATTCAGCACATATTAGTTCCAACTGCCACTCTATAACCTTAATCAGGTACATTTGGGAATTTCGTCCCATTTTATTCATAGGAGCCATGATGACCTTTTGACCTGGCACAACAGAGAAAATAAATTATGAGAGCCTCCACGTACAGAAATGATTGACTTAATGTGGGAATGATCTTCAGATTAAAGATGCTCTTCATGTTTCTCAGCTTAAAAATGAACAGAGAAAAATTCATTTTATCCTTGAAGCAATATACTGTTCAAAATTACTGTGAACTTTTGTAAAACCAGACTGTTTATTTACCCTATAAAGATCTGAAATCATTTCTGATTTTCTTCTTCAAAATACATGTATTTCGAACAGGACTCTCTTAACATTGATTGCACCCAAAGTCTTCTTGTCTGTCTTTCACTGTCTAATTATATGAGCACTTTTCATAGGCTAGGCTAAAACCAGTGTGTGAGCCAACCATGCACAATTCTGTGGCTCTGTTGATTTGCTAGGTGTTTAAGCATCGTAATACCAGTAAAAGACTCTAAGGATATATACAGAAATAAGACTTTTTTTTTAAGCTTGTCAAACAAAACCTTCACAATAAAGAGCATTCTGTAACAAAAAGCTTTAATGACAAAGTATACCAAACTGATTCATAAAACGCGATTGAATCATCATCAATGGACCCATGAGAAAACTTTTTCACAAGCTGTTCATATAGCATCAAGCATATCTGATGGCAATCCATCTTTAACTTCCCAAAATAGTTCATGTAGGTACTTATATTCAAAGTATGAGCCAATTAGGTAGAGATTTCTTCCAATAAGCGTCTATTTAAGCCGTATTGCCAGTATACTTCAGTGCTCTAAATGGTCAGTAATGTCCTGAAGCTATATTTAGATAAGAGTAAGCAAAGATAACACATAATTGGTGATTGCAGAGTCCTAGCTTTTAATTTACAAATTACTAAATCCATTAGCCCTTTTATAGGACAGTCTACATCCTTGGTGTGTGAATGAGAAGCAGAAAGGATAGTGCTTGTTGCAAGCAAACTAGTTACAGTCTTTGCTCCTGCTGCTGTTTTATGACATATCTCCATTTCAGAGCTCTTTAAAACATATAAGAGATTCAATGCGTGCTTTTATCAGCAATTATTCTTGATGAAGGCTCAGATATTCTTACTAATGAAGCATTTTTATAACATTTGTTTAATTAGGCTTGAGGTCAAACTTTTCTTGGTGTTTCTGTATACTTTGTGTCTTGAACAATGCTGATGCTGGGAAGGTTTAACTTTTCTCATGAGTCAGTACTGGATCTTCTTCATCCTAAGTAACTAATAATATAGTAGAAGGGATTTTCTTAGTCAAGGATTTGATTTAAAAAAATCAAACAGAAAACAAGGTAAGGATTAAAGAACTACATTTTCTGAGGTCTGTCACCACCAAAATTCATAAACAAGCTGTGTGTTCACTGTGCCTAAGATAAAAGCTCCTAAATTCTCCTGTTTATGTCTTGTTAATCTGTAGTTAAATATGTTTCTGTGAGGATAAAAATGTGAATTGATTTTAACTGAAAATGTATTATTTTTATTTGTTTTTTTAGGAAGGGCATTCCAAGTGAACAAGTGAAACAAACTGATAGAGAGCAAGCGAAGCGTATCGTTTACTCAGTGGTTTATGGAGCAGGTAGGCATTCTTATAAAATAAATTGCTACAGTATGTTCATACCATCTATGTAACTTATGCAAATATACGAAATGTCTGAAGATGAGTTAAATTTTGACAGTGTATTATATTTTGATTTTCGTTAAGTATTGTTAAATAATTAAAATTGTCAAATTAATATACCTGCGTTGACCTATATAAAACTTACACAGATGTCAGGTTTATTTGCTGCTGATGTAAGGGATGCATTTGTCTTCATCTAAAATAGGCATAATTTTTAGGAAACTTTATTTTCTGTTGATATTTACAAAGAGATGAGAACAGGCCTAATTAAATGAGAAGAACTCAGATACTGTCTGTAACTCAGATACTGACTCAAGATGCATTCTTACAACCACGGAATGGTAAGGCTGGAAAGGACCTCTGGAGGAGATTGCTGGTATTATGCTTACTGCAGTCAGTGGAAGTCTACTACTTCACGTAGTGATTTTTTTTGGTTTATGCTTTCTTAGCTTTACATTGCTCTTGGCTCGTATTTTTAAAATCTTTCCTATAATCTTGGAGGACAGAAAACACTATAATACAGAAAAGTTTTACTAGGTATAGGAGTTGGTACCTTAATTAATATACCATCTATTGAGAGATAGAGCAGAATTTCAGACATTTTGCCCAATGTGGAGCAGTTATATTCATCTGTTTATGCCTCAGTCATCCTGTGAAACTACAGAAAAGGCAACTTAAACATCTATGAAAGAAAGAATCGCTTCTCTTCAGTGGCACTAGTCCTGTGTTCTAGTCTTGTCTTATATAGAGCACAGAGGCGTGGCAAAGTGTTTAAATGAAAAACAGAGAAGCTGGTTGGAAGTGTTATTTTCAGTTTTGAAATATGATTTTATAGAGCGGAAGATGCTAGAACACATAAGCTATTAGTAACAGTTTCCCTGGCACGGATAACTCAAGGGGAGTGCTCAAGGAAGCTTCAGCCCACTCCTGGGAGTTGCTTAGCATGGCCTGTGCTCCCACATGGTGAAATATGGTCTTAAGTCGCTGTAGAGTCTTCTCTTTTTGCTTTCCAGGAATTGCATTTTGCTGGAACTTCTCAAAGTCCCTTGTTGTTATTGTAGTTTAATTTTCCTTCTCTTGTATGTAATTCTTTGTTCTGTGTAACAGTAGTTCTTTAGAAGGGTAACATGGACAAATACAGATGTTGCAGTTCTCCAAGAAAGCCTCAGCACTCTTCTAGCCATTACCAACACGCGCTTTTGCAGATAGATTTGTCATTTTCTGACCAAGAAATTAAAAACAAGTTATTTAGATGTAAAATAGATTCCCAGGCCAATAACAGGTCAGCTAGGAGTCAACTGAGATGTGAATTTCTTGTTCTAGCACCTTGTCTGGACTGGTGTTCCTGTCGCTCAGTGCAGATCCCAGCATGACAGAGCAAAATGCTACATTATTCTGTATTCAGAAGTCTGAAATGCGTATCAGACTGACAGGGATGGCATTTAGGTGGCTGAAATTCTTTCTCTTTAAGAACGCTGGATAATTTTTCTTGACAGTATTATCATGACAGTAACTGTTCTATGCTTTTAGTGCCTTGAAACTTTACCTCTAAGCTTATGTTGTTTGCAGACTCAGTGTTGGTTTTGTGATGCTGTGCAGACAAATATATCCGTCTTTCAAACCTTGTATGACTAAAGTTGATGTGTCTGTTATTTTTAATGAAAATATTTAATTTATAAATGTATTTAAACTGAAACTCTTAGATAATACTTTTGTACTGTGAAAAATTGTCTTTGGTATAATATTATATGTTTGCAATATATGTAATAATAATATATATTATGCATCTATATCTTATCCAAAATGCAGTACTCCTATCCATCTCTGCTGAAACAATTTTCTATTCTGCATTTCTTTTCCATCCCTTTCATCTCACAACTTGGATTTAGATTTCTGTAGACATTGAGGAGTCCAAGACTGTTTGAAATCTGTGGGATTAAAACTTTTAGCTGTATTTTTAAAATCAGGCCCCCTGGTCTGATTACTTCTGCTGTTAGGTTTTTTTTTATGAATTCTACACCATACCCAAAGCTTCTGGCTAAACTCAGCTAGCCATACCTCCATTTCTTTTTTACATAATTTGTAGGTTCTATATCTTCTCCTTAGAGTCTGCAGATTTCAACTTCAACGAAACATTCAAGCTCAAGGATAATGTTTGCATCATTGAAATATGATTATGGATATCAGATCCATCCTCTTTCATAGAGATGGGCATATTTACCAATTTCAGTAATTGTGAACGTTACAGTTTTATTGTCTGTAATGGATTTCTGTTCTTTTTTTTTTTTTTTTTTTTTTTTTGTGTACAGGTAAAGAACGTCTTGCAGAATGTTTGGGAATTACTCCTCTTGAAGCTAGTTGCTTTATAGAGAGTTTTATGCAAAAATACAAGAAAGTACATGAATTTACCAAGAAAACCATTGGACAATGCCAAAATAAAGGTAATCCAAATGGACAACCATTATTTTTTTAATTAATCATTGTGTCATAATGATGAAGACAGAGATTCAGCTTAATCTAAATTCACATAATTACAGAACAAGAGATAATACGTAATATCATCTCTTAGTGAGTCAGGTATTTTTTACTCCTGAGACAAATTGGTTGGCAGCTTCTCTGCCTTTCCTAAGAAAGATGCTAGCAAAGTAATATTTCTGTTCTCAGTCTGAACTCTACTTAATGTCAAGCTGTACTACATCATTTCAACAAAAAATGTACTCCAACACAAATCCAGGGAATATTTTACTTAATAAATATGTTACATCACTGCTGAAACACGGAAGTTCAGCCATTTAGTCAAAGAACCAGTTTACAGAAACGATTTTTAAATACGTGTTTCTTCGTCACAGTAGTCAGAATTTCAAGCTCAGGTGGTATCTGTGATGACAGATGTGTGCAGAGTGCTTCTTGAAGCCAGCAGCTACAAACTCTTTTAGCATTCAATTTGTTGTTAGTCTACATATTCATTTACATTTAGAGAATCCTAGGAGTGCAGCAATTAGAGAAGAGAAAGAACAGCTGCTAGAAATATTTTTAAATTTTACTAGAAGAACTGTCAAGATGGATTTCTCAGTACACTGTGTGGTACGGTGTGGTGTATTAAGAATACTGTAGAAATAAATTGTAAATCTGCCATATAATATTGCCTATAATTATTGAGGTGAACATGATGGTAGAAACAAGTAACTGATTCAGACTTCTTTGTAATGTTTAGACCTTAAAATTCTATGGGGAGCATGAGCTTTCATTGTGTCATGGAATTACATTCCTTTATTCATTAACATTGCTGAAGAAAACATAGGTTTTCAGGAGCTTTCCTTTAGGGAATGAAGCTCAACAAAATATGTACTGTAAAATTTTACACAATTATGATGTATTTGTTTTGATTTACTTAAAATAGCATTGTTTTCTTCTCGTAAAAGTAAATGAGTTTCCGTAATCAAGATTCTGTGCTCAAGAATGTTTATTGTGCTGAGTAGACAAGTGTCATAACTAATGTCCTTGATTGTGGTTAAAACATGGTACACACTTGTTTAATTAGTACTCCTCTCACTCTGAACTGTTTATTTCAGTTATATAAGCTCAAAAATTTTTGCAGCAGGCAAACATTCTTTAGTACTTTTCTTGTTATCCATCTCAGATTAAAAAACTCTTCCAACCTGGAGAGCTCATTTTTACTTATCTGCTGTTCAAAGATGAATGGCATCTGACCAACTAATTTTATTTAGGTTTTACAAATGTTCAGTACTTAATTTACCATAAAATACCATAGAGAAATAGGATTATTACATTAAATCTATTTCTCATTGAGTGTTTAGTGTTTTAAAAATTCTTGCTTCTTACTGTTCTTTGCAGAAAGTCTTAGTTAAATTAGGAAGACTGATTTGCCAGAGAACATCCCAACCTCCAGACAGTTCAGTTCCCTGTTCTAAAAATTGAACTTTTCATGTTCATGCTGTTGGTAATATAGAACTTAACAGAAAGCTTTATTAGTTCAGCAGAGCTATTTTCATTACCCTGTGCATAATATTGGGTTTGTGTTGTACATAGTACAAAAACACAATTTCAACAAAACACAGAACTCTATGTTTTGAGAGCTTTTATTGCGCATGAGATTAAATTATGGTGTGCAGTCTGAGCTCCAGTGGTATCCAGTGATGGCCTATGGGTAGTCAGGGTGATCAGAAGTGTAACAAAACCTTTTTTTAGGACAAGGCTTAGTTTTGGGAGATAAGCTGAAGCAAGACTTTACAAGTGTTTTCTGGACAGGAGGATCATGGGATCTCTCTTTCTCTCTCTGTTCCTCTCACTTGTCCTCCAAAAAAATCCAGTGATGATGGCAAAATACTTCATTAGGCTAAAAATAAATGTTTAACTATTTTAATGTGTTTCCTTTAAACTACTTACTTAACTAGAGGTAAGAAAGTTTGGTTGTGGAAGGGACATGAAACTATTGCATTAAGAAAATCAGGAAAAAAAAAATTCTCCAAAAATGATTGGACAATTTTGGGAATGATTCATTAGTGATTTAATTGCTGTGCAAACTGATTTTTTTGCTATTCCCAAGTAAACTATTCATTGCATGCAAAGCTCTAATTATGGCTACTAATAGATAGCTAATTCTGCTAGGTATTTATAGTTTCATCTCCCACAGAGAGTTTGCTATTTTACCAGCATATTAGCAGATAATCCTAATGAAAACACAGCTTTAATGAACATAAATTTTTATTGTATAACATGTATCAATTCTCTGAATAAAATAATTCTGAGGCTAACAATGCAATAAGCTCTGAATACTTTCAGAGGGCAAATTATCTCAAGCAGTGCACAATTACAAAATATCTGCATTATCTTCAAAAATAATTTTTAAAGTTTAACTTGTAATTGCTCTAGAAATGCTGATTTCTACTTAAATCCTACAAGGTTATGTGGTTTCCATTATGGGACGCAAAAGACTGCTTGCTAATATCAATTCACAGGATTACAAACTACGCACTCAAGCAGAGAGGCAGGCTGTCAATTTTGTTGTTCAAGGTAAAATCTCACCTATGTACCCACTTTCTTACCTACCATCTATCTATCTTAACTCTAACAGACGAAATCTCCTTTGCTCTCAAAAAAATGAGTATTCTCATAGTCTGTTAAAGTAAGCTACTGAGGCATGAGTTTTATTATAAAAACAGAAGTTTAAAATGTTTATTCTAGGTTCCTTGGAAACTTCAAATAAACACAGTGTATTAATGCAGTAGAGTTCTCTGCCATTGTTAAATACAGGTGTAGACACTAACTACATATGGAGAAAACATATAAGATTTCAAGGCTTGAATGCATGGTTGTCTGAAATATTTTCCTTTCTGGCTTCTTTGAGAGTTTCTTTCACAGTGTTTCTGTAATTTTTATGCTTACAGTTTCTGGCTTTTTTTTTTGTCACGTAGCTTTAGTTTAAGAAATATGCAGTATTACAAGAACCTTATTATATTTTGAAACCCAACTCTTCATAAGGAACATTTGAAAGTAATTCTCTGAAGGGTGAAAATAAAGATGTTTCTTCAGAGAAATTGGAAATGTAAAAATTAGCACAAAAATACTGAAATATTAGTAAAAGATATATTAACATATAAGTTGTTTGGACCCAAGTCTTGTATAGAATTAACCACATAAAGAACAAATAGAAATTGAGCTGGCAGTCCAAAGCTGATATCCCTCCCACCAAACCTTGCAGACATTATTTCTTTGTTTGGAATATGCTGACAAGGTTTTCATTAAGCTATATTGGACGTGTACAGTTTACAGATAAGTAAAAACTGCTTTCTAAATACAGTGATGGAGTGCCTGTAAGGGTCATTTGAATTTTCTTTTTGAAAGGATCATTTGGTTTTTCTTTTTTTTTTTTTTTTTTTTTTCTCCAAATATTATTCATGTTAATGTTTAATTTTAAAAATGACTTACGTAATTATGTCATGTTTGACATCCTTATAATCAGTAACTGAATTTAGTACTATCTCTACAAGAACATGTACAGATCTAGAATTCTAATACATACCCTGCTACTTGAGTAACACTTGTGCTCAAGTGATAGCTGCCTTGCTGTATGAGGCTCTCAAATGCAGTTTTTGCAGAGGGTTGTTAGAGTTAGGGTAATATGGTCAGGTTTCGGTTAGACTTGATGATCTTTAAGGTCTTTTCCAACCTGAGCAATTCTAAGATTTTATGGTTCTGTGATTTTAAAATATTCTTATAACATCTGCAGCAAAGCTTGCATATTTGTACATCCGGGAATACCTACACAAGCTTCTCTAGAGACTTGTGTTCATTTCACTTCAGTTTCACCCAGATGAACAGCAGCCCTCTCCAGCTGAAGACATAATGCTTGAGCTAATACAGTGGGTCCTGCTGAGTGTATGGGGCAACATTAATAAAGCTACGTTGCCCTTGTAGCACCACTTGCTTGTGCCCATCTGTGCTAAGAGCTTGGAGCTGAGACAAAGCTGAATCATAGAATAGAATCATAGAATCATTAAGTTTGGAGAAGACCACTAAGATCATCTAGTCCAACTCTTGAATCGTGACTAGCATGCCTACAACACCAACACAGGACTGCTTGTGAAATTCTCCTACATTGATAAGATTAATATATTTAATTGTCAGTTCAAATCATACTGGAGAACAAATCTGAAAAAAAAAAAAGTTGTGACTCTTATTCAAAACATGTAAATTGGAAGGTAGGGTGAAACAAGGATTAAAAACTTTAACATGGTCAGAATTTCTAGATTTTATTAGAGAATTTGCTCTAGACTCTATGTTTTTTGTTTTTTTTTTTGAACTGCAGTATTTCACATCTGAAAAAATATTTAAATGCTGTAAAATCTTTCTATAATATACTAAAGCATTTTTAGTTAGAGAATTAATGTACTAAACTGCAAATAATGTGTTTTATCTTTATATATCTGTGATTCCCATCTACAAGAGGGCTTGTCAGGAGGATCCAGGGAACTACAGGTCTGTCAATCTAAGCTCAGTGCCAGGGAAGGTTATGGAACAGATCATCTTGAGTGAGATCACACAACGTGTGCAGGATAACCAGTGGATCAGGCTAAGACAGCATGAGTTCATGAAAGGCAGATCCTGCCTGACGAACTTGACCTGCTACAATGATCGAGTGACCCACTAGTGGATGAGGGAAAGGCTGGTGATGTATCCTACCTAGACTTCAGCAAAGCTTGGCACTGTCTCCCACAGTATTCTCCTAGAGAAGCTGGCAGTCTGTGGCTTAGACAGGTACACTCTTTGCTGGGTAAAGAACTGTCTGGAGAGCCAGGCCCAGAGAGTAGTGCTGAACGGAGTTAAATCATGTGTGGTGCTCCCTGGAGGCCGCTACTGGGGCCTGTCCAGTTCAATATTGCTATCGATGACCTGGTCGAGGGGATTGAGTGCGCCCTCAGTAAGTTAGCAGATTACATCAAGCTGGGAGGAAGCGTCAATGTGCCTGGGGGTAGGAAGGCTCTACAAAGGTTTCTGGATGTGCTACTAAGGGGCATGGTTTAGAACGGAAATATTGGTGGTGGGTGGATGGTTGGACTAGATGATCGTGGAGGTCTTTTCCAACCTTAAAGATGCCATGATTCTGTGATAATAGTCTAATAATATAAGCAGTTTGCATTTTGAAAATGGTAGCAGAAGCGGATATTAGATGATTTCTTCTGTTGCATTGCAATATTAAGAGGAATGTGCAGAGTGCCAGCTTTAACTTGATACAACTGCACTTTACACATATGTACTGTGAGGAATAAAATAGTTATATACATTTATTCTCATGATCTGACTGACTACTTAACTCGTGATGAAACATCTTTTCTTAGTTTCGATATCAATGCATCCTGTGTTGTGTTGTATTTAATCCATGTGAGACAACATTTGAACAGAAAAACAAGTATATTTGGGTTTAAATTTTCCATTAAATGTAGACATCTCAAAAACCAGCTGAGTATCTGTTCTTGGTATAGTTAATGAATAAAAGAGAGTCTCAGCATGAATTCACAGGAAGGCAGTTTGTTACAGAAAACCAGGAATAGGTATTAAGTCTTTCCCCTGTTGGGTTATTGAGACATAATAATCTCTTCAATCTCTTAGATATTCTTTTACCTCCCAGGAGAGTACCCTTGCTATTTGCCTAACTGGATAATCTTTATCTCTTGATGTTGGACTATTTGAAAGAAAGAATTCAAGATTTACTGAACTGAGGGTTCAAAAATGAAAACGTGTATGGTTTGGTACTTTTAAGATATCGGATGGGGCAAGAATTATTGCTCCTGGTCCTTAGTTAAAGGATTATTTCTGTACTTTTTCTGATAAATATCTCTATAAAAATGCACTAAATCCTGTTGCGTGGTTCAGAACAGGCTGTTTCACCAAACTGCAAGTCTGGAGGATCACTCTGTCTCTTTATTAGAAATGCCTAATCCATTACACAACTTGACACTGTTTCTGCAACGCTGCCCTGTAACGTAGCGTAATTGCCCTATAATGTAATGAATATACATTACATACCCACTGAGTTAAAAAAAATCATGAATTAAATTACCAAATGAAAATATGTCTCTAAAACAAAATTCTGCCCTTTACATTACATTTTAATTAATTTATAGGTAAATTTTACATCAGATCATTTTCAATTTAATTTAGATCATTTCAGATAGATCGTATGGTTAGGTTAAAGTTGAACTTGCTGGTCTTTAAGGTTTTTTTCCAAGCTGAGCAATTCTATACTATATATTTTCTGTTTTCTGTTTCTAATTAACATGTAGTAGTTTGTTATTTATTAATCTGTTTCACATATTACATCAACTGAATTCACTAGTTTTGCAAATTCTTATAATTCACAATCTTCAGATGTTTTTCATTTCTATGCCATAAAACAGCTTTCCTTTTGCATGCTTTAAACTGAAAGCAGATCACTTTCTTTCGTAGGATCTGCAGCTGATCTTTGCAAAATGGCTATGGTTGAGATTTTTACCTCTGTTGTGGTTTCTCCAACTTTAACAGCCAGGTTAGTAATGAATGACTGCAAAAGTGTTTAATTTTGAAACAAAAATAGTGTTGAATGGGTCTCTAGCATTTTAGGTAGCTGTAGAAATATTGTGTATGCCTCTGTATCTTTTAACAAGCAAGGGCTTGTGGGAGATGCTTTTATACAACCAGAAGTTGTATCTTTGTGCTTGAATGGTTGGACATGTAAACCTATTCCAAGGCAATGCAGTGCCCAGGGTCTGTTGAAGCTCAGTCAGATCTAGATCAGTGGTAGTTCCATGTCTTTGAAATCAAGCCCACTGATCATATCCTTCCTGTATTTTGAGTATATTGTACAATGGCAATTGAACATAGTGTGAGCTAGGAAAAACAGGAATCAGGAAATCAGTGCTCAAACAAAATAAATGAACAATTTTTAATCCTTTTACAGATGGCTTTCTTTTGCTAAAAAAAAAGCAAAACAAAACAAAAACACAAAGGAAAGAAATAAGTGGCCCTATACTACAAATCTGAAATGGGAAACTGTTCTTTGGTGTACAGATATATAGGCAATGTTGTTTGAAGAGGCCAGAATCAGGCAGCTGTGGCCTGGCTTAATTTTATTTTGGCAAGTATAACATGATAGAGCAGCTACCTTATGGGACAGTCAGCCAACTAGCCAGTCTCTAATGGATGCAAGCAGAGATTTTGTAAGAGTAAAAAATACATTATCTCCTTCTGTACCTAGCTAACACCTGCATCTTTAGGTTCAGTGACCATCTGTTTATTGTAATGATGAGAAAGCCAAAGGTTTTTGCATTTAATTCCATGTCTGGTAAAGCTTGTGAATGTTTTCTCTCAACAGAAAAGTTTGCTTGAGTTGTCCTCTCTCAAAACTATTTATTTAAAAAATGTAGTGCTATCAAATGGCTAAGGACATAACAGACATGGGGAGTTACAGGTACTTTACAAGTTTTCCTTGTGATGTGAAATCAAAGGAAAAGTGCTAGACCAGAAGAATTGCTGCCTATGCTTCTCATTCCTACCGTAAATACCGCAGCTGGGAAAGACTAAGATTGCAAGGTCAATTAGAAGAGACAGACTGTTTTAAACTGGGATTTGAACTCCTGCCAGCCATTAACAACTGATGGCTTTGCTAAAGCAGAACCTTTTAATATTTACAAATGGCTCTTGGCTGTAATATTTATTAGATACTTAGAAGCTAGGCTTGTCAGAAAACCACAGTCAGTGCCTTTGTAAATTCTGTGAACACTCACCTGGTTAGAAAGTGGCTCAGGCATTTGAAAGCATCACCATGGTCTTGTCAACAGATTACGGTATTGGAACCTGAAATTTTGTGTTTCCACTCAGTCACTTGTCTGCCAAGTGACATGCAGCTATTATTTATTCAGTGGTCTGTTTCTTGATTTTCTTTTCAGTAAAGTTGGGATAATGATCCTAACATTCTTTGTAAAGCTCTTCGAAAAATATTGAAGAAAGGAAATGATGCTGTTATTGTAACAGTAGGAATGCACAGTAGCTCTTCCAAAATGAGAAATATAACCAGCCTCCTATTATCACATTGAATCATACTGAAAAAAAAATATACTACTATCTTCTCTTCTATCTCTACCCCCCTTGCAAGGTTTTTTCCTCTCTATTAGAATTTCTAATTTTAGAATAAAGTTTTCACTTTGAGTAACATATCAAAGAGAAATATCATCTACATATACTTTAGAAGAAACTATGAGTTCCTTATTTAGACTGTGATACAGTATATCCTATAAGGCATAGCCAAGTAGTGGCTAACACCCAACGTTTTGTCTTCCCTACAATGCATAACCAAGTAGTGGCTGACACCCAACGTTTTGTCTTCCCTACCTTGCAAATTAAAAAAAAAGAAAAGAAAAAAGAATCAAATTGCATTTTAGACAAGGTCTTACAGTTTTTGATGTTAATTTGCAGTTAGGTTTACTGTCTTCATCATCAACAGTGCTGCATTCACATAAATTGTAATTGTATGTGAGCAAGTTCTGACCCAATAGTACGTAGCTTCATTTCTCATGACTAGTAATCATGATATTTTTCATTACTCTTTGTCCATGTAACATCGTGTTTGGAAGTCAGTGAAAGGTAACCAATTACATTTTCACGAAGCTGAATCGGCGAGGTCCTCGTGAAGGAGCAGTATGTTCCTCTGTGGCTGATCAGTGGCAGTCTCATTTTTCACTTTGTATTGGACATCTTTTAATTGAAATGCCAGCTCAGCAACTCATGCTGTTGTCAATAAAAAAATCAGTCTGTTGTCTGAGAATAATTTTACAGAAATGGGTAAAAGAAGCATTACATTCAATACGTAATCAGTATGATAAAAGCTGATACTACTATGGATTAGCTACTGCCACTGCTGTTGATGTGTTCATTTTGCATGGAACTGATGAATAATCAACATGATTTCTTTAAAATTCTTCCATATTATCTACATCTTTGTTGAGATGCTGTTCTGCCATTTGTGGCCAAGTTGCTTACTGAAAGTGTGCTGCTGACATCAATTATTCAAGTGCTAGCTTTTACCTGCATGATGCAATTCACAGAACCTCCACAGAATGTCTCCTGTAGGCAGATGATAACAAAGGAACTTCTGAAGTCAGATCAAGGCAAATATTAGCAGCTGAAAGAAAGATTTGTGGAATTTATGAGAGTAGAAAAATACTCTGTGAACTTAGATTGACAATTGTAGTTATTTAAAATGTCATTACAGTGGCATATACCTGGGAATGTGAAATGGAGGAAGGATGTTGGCAACTGAAGGAAGAAGGGATTGCCTATACCGGTTTTTGTAAAAATTGTCGTTGTATAAGCTGAAGATAGATGCATGCTACCCAAAGACTGTCTGGCACTGTATGAACTGCTCAGAAGCTTTTAGTCATTAAAGATGGTAACATCCTAACAACATGCAAATTAACTTTAACACTTCCAAAGAACTATTGAGTAATATTGCTTGAATCTGGCAATTGTGCTTTCTTATCTGTTTATCATTCCTATAACACTAGATCCTAGTGCCTCAAACACACAGCTTTACTTCTCAGTGTGTCCAGAGCCTGGGTAAAACAGATTCAGTGACAGGCCAGATACAAACAAATGATTTGAAAAGTATGAGCCACAAAAAAAAATAGAGGAAAAGGCACAAACCTATTTTCTTGATCCCAACTGCTCTTCTTTAGCAGTAGATATTGAAGCTTTTCAAAGTTTTCCTTAATGAACAAACGCTTCAATCGGCATAATGATTTTTTTGAGCTGATGAACTAAAAATGCAGCTTGCTTCCACACATATCACTAAACTAGTAAGAGAGAACACTTACTGTCCCAGGAACAAGCTCTGTGTTATGTGACCTGGAATTTTTTCCGATACAAATCATATGGTAAAACTCAAATAGCTCATTTCCTGGAATTGGTTTTAATTTAGTTACAGAGAAGAAATAAGAGACATATAGGTGTACAGGGATTCCAGCACTAGTACTTTATTAACTGGTTATGCTTTCATACAAAAGATTCAAACAAAAGGGCATAGCAATAAAAGATTTTCTTGACTATATCATAGCGAGCTTCATTCTGTGAGCTACTTAATGCTGCTGCTGTGTAGAATGGTTTTCTTTAGCTCTGAGTACACAGTTGTTGTCCCTCCTCTTATTTTTTATGGAATTAAAGAATTAATTTTACCCATGTTTCTTCTGTAGGAGTTATCCAAGATTTCCAACTAAATACTTACTGGTCTTGTTCTCTGCCCCATTATTACCTTGTATGTTCTGCTCTGAATATTAATTCCTGCAAGAGAATCATCCTTAGCCTAGTACCGGAGAAGCAGAATCACAGGGAAAAGATAGAAGTTTTTAATTATGCTTGAGGAGAATGAGGTTTTTGTTTCTCAGACATATGCTTTTGTTTCAGTAGCAGAAGGAAACATCCTACATCATGTGGTTGTTGTAGAAATTATTGGGAGCTCCCCATAGCTGCTGTCCCCATCCAGTACATAGCTCTTCGCTTCCCAAGTGGCTGTTTTGTATTTCTAGTTGTGCTGTGACCTAGCAAATTCATTGCTTTCCTCAATATTTCACAGAAGTACCTTGCATGTATGCACAAGATGGTGAGCAATTACCTGAACACCTTATGCAGAGTGAGCCAGAAAAAGTAAAAATGATTTATTCTTTATAGAAAAAGCTAACTATATTTAATATGCTTAAATATCATAGGTAAAAAGGACATTTATGATGCAGCAGACACTTAAATGTACCTTTTTTGTGGGTCATTAAACACAAATAAATACTTCTAGCTTATAAAAACCTTTTGTAGGTCACCTTTTTGGTAGGTATGTTTTGAAACACTTTGGTACACGTGAAAATTCTATTCTCTTAATTAACCATCTGTTCAGCTTCCTGCTCTTCTTGATGTAACTGCTGAGAAATTTCACAAGTTAGCTGAATTTTTGTACTCAAAATGTTAGAATGTCAACATGTCTTGGTCTTCAGTAGGAAAATACTGAAAGAGAAGTAATATAAAGTAACTTCAAGTAACACCTATGCAAGCATGATATATTTTGAGCTACATCTTTTATATTACTACGTTAGAAATCCTCATATATGCAGCTTCATGAGAAACTTGAAAAGTCTGCAAAATGTCACAAAATTATCTCAACTTGTTCCTTATCTACATGACAATTTAATAGGAATTCTTTCCAGTTAAACCCATGTATATTTATGGGGAAACTGTGCAGCTATTAAATAGTGAGTAGTATTTGTAGTATATAAAAAAATAAAAAATATTTAGTGCAGAGGACACAGAGATTTTAAGAATTGAATCCAGCATTTATCTGGTCCGTTATCACTGAGTGTGGCCAGTAGCAGGTGCTTCAGAAGGAAGGTGCAAGATTTGTTACTAGGAATAATCTATCTGCAAATTCTCATCTTTCTGTGATTGTGGGGGATGCCTATAGTCTGAAATAAAAGATTTAAAAGTGTTCTCCCAAAGTCATTGGATTTCGTCAATCTAAACGTTCTTGAAAACGTGGAAGTGTTTATTACATAAGCGGCCTTTTTGTCTTTCTTTTCTTTTTAGTCTTTTAAAAATTTTTTTCTAACCACATTTTTTGTTCTCTTTTGAGTTACTTTTTAATTAAATAAGACCTTTAACCATGTAGTAATGACTATTTTATAGTCTTCCATTATGCAGTTAGGAATTTCAAATTCAAAAGGAAAAAATGCAGTTTTATGACTTGAATGATTATTTTATTTATTAAAAAGGACAAAATGACAGACAAAGCTAGTAATCTATGGAAAATAGAATCTGATACTGCTGTTTCAGAAGATGGTATGAAGTTCAATGTTCAGGGAAATAGTGTTTTATAAGAAAACTCTGGCTAGAAAAGGGCTGATTCTTTTGAAATATTTCTACACTTACGTGGTGCTGCTAAGTGATCATTAATGCCATTTCTGAAGTAGTGTGTTTTTAGGAACTTCGAACATTTAGCTTTTGACATTTTTACTCTACCTATATAAAATCTTAATTATTACCATTGTATTATGTTCTTAAGTAAAGCTTTATGGAACTTGGTAAAAATTTAGCTAGATTTTTGCTGAGACAAAAAGCTATGATAAATTTCAAATAAATTCTCTTTTTTGTCCCTTCTTCAAAGAAAATTCTTTGGTTTAAGGAAATCTGTTCTTCAGTTACAAATGGGGGATCCCCAGTTGATCCCCAAACTAACATGACTGTGTTGGGTTTTAAGTGGTCTGGAAGTGGCTTGTGATGGGTCCAGGTTGCCTGCTTCCAAATTATGGAGTAAATTAACCTACAGTTAGTCTGTAGGAATTCATTGGTTCATTATTTTTTTGTATTATCTTCATTTAGACCAGCCTGGAAAGCTGGACAATATTATGTTTTGAATTTGTTGTTAGCAGCAGAAAGGATTCTCCTCGTAATACAAAAATATATAACAAAATTGTACACAGGACTATTCTGTGTCTGATTTTAGGTAGGGCATGGTAGCCCTACAAAGTCAGTGTTTAGAGATGGAGTTTTCCAGATGTTGGTTCAGAACAAGTGAGAGCCTACCTTAGTCCTTTGACCATAGAATGAGCATTAATACAATTAGTTTGAGCATATCTTGACCTGAAACAGAGCATCTAACTGTTAGAAAACACCTTCCAAGGAAGACAGCTAGGAAAATCATGTCTTTTTTTTTTTTTTTTTACCACTGGCATCTTCTACAGGATATTCCTACAGTAGCATCTGCAGCATGTCACACCACAGAAGTCTTGTTTGCAGTTTGGAGAAAATGTTTCCTTTAATGGCGAAGAAATACAATTGCTCACAGGTGATATAAGAGCTGTTCTGCTGAATTCAGTTCAGTAGCACACTCATTTCTAGACAACAGACTTTAGGTAGTCCTGGAAAAACTTGCCTCTTTAGAGAGGTCCAGATCTGGAATATATTGCCTTGCAGTAACTAACAAAATCCTCATCTATTCTTATATTAGAAAAAAATCTGACATGATATTAAGAAAAAATAAACAGTAAGGAGGCCTCATCAGTAGAAGCTTATGAAAAAAATCTCTTGATAGTTGCTTGTTTTGTCATATATCAGATCAATTATATGGTCGTAATATAGTAATGATAACTATGTGGATCCATTGAAGATCCAAGTTTAGTGTAATCCAGTTTACTTCACATTTTAACAAGCAATAATGGGAGGAGCTTTCTATTTCAGTATTCCTTCAAAGTGGCGATCACTTTATTAAGCTGTTAAACAGGAGTGTAAGTTTTGAAAAAACTTTTTACTTAAGCTATATGAAAGATGTCTGTAATATTGGAATAGTAAAAGGTGTGAATTTTGAATGGAAATATTACTATGATTTTTCATTCATCTGTACTGAAGTCAAATAGGATAATGTCACTGCTTTAAGAAACCCAAAACCAGTTTTAGCTCTAGCATGGAGATGAGGTGATCTGTTAATCCAGTGCTGAGTGTTTTTGAAAATCTTCTTCCTCCATTTCTAAAATCTGACAAATCAATGATAAAATATTTGATCTATATTGTAAATTCTTCAAAGAAGGAACAGTTCCTTACTAAATATGTAGAAAATTGGGCTCTAATTCTGACTGACGCCATGAGTCACTACTCTGATACAAACAATAACTGGTCTGTCACATTTTTATTTCAATGGCTTCATCAATGCATTCATTTTCACTTACTCCATTGATTCAAAGTATATTTGGAGTTTTTAACATTCACAGTTCTTTCTGATTTATATCTTTTTATATGTCACTCCCATGATTATGAAGAATCTCTTGCTTTAATTAATTTACTTACATTGGAAATCATAGCTTTTCATGTAAACTCTATTCTCTTGCTATGGATGATCCTGGTTTTTTCATCTGTTTCTTATTGTATCCCGTGTCCCAGTTTCCTATTAGAAATATGTTAATCTGTTTCACTCTGCTTTTGACTGAGGTGTAAGTGACTAATAATTGAAGACCTATTATTAGAGCTCACCACACTGGTACTCAATGTCACATTGTAATTTAAAGCAGTGTGAAACTATCTTAGGATATTTTCCTGAAAGATGTGAAAGTTATAACTTCTAACCATACCATATTTCAGCCATTTCTAAAGAATGAATAACTGCTAGGTATTAAAAAAGTCTATAGCATTTAATTTAAATGTTATATATGAAATGCAAAGAAATTCATAAATAGATGTTACAGTTTCATGACTTAGACTGCCAGCTGTAAGTATTAAAGAAGTAATGAAATAAACCTAATAGGAGTGCAGCTTAATCAGATGTGCAATATTTTTCCTTTCTAGGTAAGAACTGCATGAAAGATTATACGTGCTAGACTATATCTATTCTTCCTCAGATGTGATTCAGTCAAACACATATATTGTTTCCACTGTGATCTTATTTTTGCACGCAGACCAATAATTTAGGATTTATCCCAGTATGCGCTGAACAATTAAGACACAATCCATATGCAGGAGGCCTATTGATGTAGAACTAATATTGACAAAGAAAAAAACAAAGAATTAGTAGAACTTTATTACAAAACAGCTCTAACTGAAGAGCTCAGGTGCATGTTGTTGCATGGGTTTTAAGATGTTGCTGCTATCAGTTGTACATTCTGTTCTTACGAAGACAACTGTCCTGGTAACAGAGGCAACAAATCAGGTTGAGTATCTGAACCTGCATTTTTGTTCTTCAACCCACAGAATGAGGAGCCTTAATTTGCTTTTAAGTGAAAGGAGTATTTCCTGAGAAAGACTCCAGTCACTGGCCAATCCTAGACTAGGAGTTACTATTGCATACCAATGAGCCAAGTCCTCTTGCTATTGACCTAATTTGGATTACTACAACAGCATATTTGCAACCCCAGTTATTACAGCTCAGTTTGAGGAAAACAAGCTATATTAACAAAGCAAAACCTGTCTCTCTAATTTCTTGCAGTTTTTCTGCAATTTACAACAGTTTTAAATAGTACCTGTCACATATCAAATCCCTGACAGGCATTTACAAGTTAGCTAGCAGTTTCGATTTGAGACCATGGCCTTTATGCTTTCAGAATATGTCGAATGGCAGTCCTTTTAACTCCATTGATGAAGTCTTTCACTTTCGTAGGACTTTTCTTAGGACTGTATGCGTGGTTTACATGAAAATTACTTGATACGAGTGAAAAGTACTATTAGAAATTTCATGCATATTCTGTCTGACATCTCTGAATTTTTTCAGATTAATTGCTCAGATTCATGATGAGTTGTTGTTTGAAGTAGAAGATTCCCAAATCCAGGAATTTTCAGGTAAATATAATCTCTTTCTTTCTCCCTTCCCATTTCCCAATAGACTGTCATTTTTTTTGAATAACATAGAATACAGTAGCTCACTTAAAAGGATCATCTAGTCCAACTGTCCAGATGATTAAGAATTGATGTAACAGGAAGTTTTGATTCATTGATTCTCATGATTAAGAAAATAAATGCTATGCAGGCTTTTCTGAACATTTTCCCTCACTGGTTCTTATGTCGATAAAATGTGATATGCTCCTTATCTAGAGTTTGTTAAATTGCTTATTTGTACTTAATTTACTTACCAAGATTTCCTCAGTTAGTACAAGAATCCCACAAGGAATAATATTTTCACCAAAGTCTTCAAGGGATGTAGAAGGAAACAAACCAGATTAAGACGAATGCCCTGGAAAATAACTTCCTAAATACATATAGTTGGGTTCTGTTACATAAAGAAGTGTAAAACTCTTAATGTAAGAATGCAAGGTACTGTAATTTTAAGTTAATGTACTGTGTTTTTGTTTTTGTTTTTTAATATATTAAGAGAACTTTATGATGGATCTCTCAAAACTGATTGTTAGCAAAAGTTCCTGCCTACACTTTTATCTCTCATTCGGCTTCTTACAGATGTTATTTCATAAGCTAGAGTTTGTCCCTACATCTGGTAAAAATTTATCTAGCAAATGACAGCAAAGACAAAGCTGTCAGGTCTTTTCTCCAGTAAGTACTGGAGACATTACTGCAAGTGCTGAATGTTAATTCACATGTTTAGGTCTAGTCTGAAGTTGAAAAATGACTTTGGCTAAAACAAGTACTGTAAGATCACAAATATTTAAGGCTAACTGATACAAGAAATACATTGCATTATAACCAAATAGGCAGACAAGGGGTGCATCTGAATTAGGATTTAACTTCCAGTCAGGAGTAGGAGTATGAAGCAGATCTCCCTGTTGTCCCCAGTCCGTTATGTGAACAGTTTTGGTTTATTTGCAGTCTGAGAATAGTTGAACCAGATTCCTATTAGATGAAACTAAATAGGAAGACTCTTTTTTCCCAAACTTTTCCAATTAGTTCAGGAGTTGTTTAACTGAGGTAACAAATTGCATATGCAAGTTTTAAAGAGGAGTGTCAAAAGGATATGGGCTTCTAAATCACTTCAGTGCTTTGAAACCCAGATATGAATTTCATCCCATTACCTCTTCTCCTTGTCTTCTTATTTTTATTTGCTGGTATTCTTTAGCTGTTGGCTTCATCTTTCCTTATCTAAAGAGTCTTTTTGTCCATTCAGAAACCTTAAATTATAGAATCTGCTGACTTGCAGAACCCTGCCTGAGCATTAATGACCCAGAGAGAAATCTCAGTTGTACAATCACTAAGCTCAGTAAAGCTAAGGAGCAGTGTGCAATGGATTTAATTGAGTACAGCTCAGTGCTGTATTATTCTCCTGCATTTACTGTGATCCAAGAAAGCACTGGCCTAGTATTCAAAGTATTTGCATTCTGATTCCAGGCATGCTTTTGATCTACTTTTTAAGGAAAGCAACAGCAAACATATGTCTTAGTTTTTGTGGAAAGGATATGAAATCTTAAGGCACTTCTAAGATTTATAAATGAAGAACATAAAGGCAAATCATATTATTTCAATTAAATGATAATGCAGAACACAAGCTTTTTCAGGAGCATTTCCCCTATGGAAGTGTCTTTTGTACTGCTTTATAACAAGAACATGTCTATTTGCTTCTGAGACTCTCCTGAGCAGAAGCTGTGTTGCCACAAGTCAATCATACTGCCAGTGCTTTCTCTATGCCTGCTTAGGACTTCATAAGGCCACCATAAGATTTTTCAGTACTATTCAGTATTATTATGTCCAACTGACGATCTTGAATCTTTTTAATTCTATAAGCAAGCAGCAAGCAAGCAAGCAAGAAGATATTCTTTTTTTCTAACATCATTTTTTTGCACAAAATACTACATGTAAGTTTACCAGCTCTTACCTGTACGTTGGAGGATACTTCCCCCAGACAGATTCTACTACTCACAGTTGCATAGCATGCATACTGCTCACTCTGGACAGGTCAAAATGCCATCTGTTTATAATGAGTGTCCAAACCTTGACATACATTGAAATACAGTAAAGCACTGAGTTAGCTTGTTTTCAAAATAGTTATGGTATATTATCTAACTCAATTCTCTATTTAGGGCAAGAAAAAAATATCAGAAAGATAAATACATTTTTAATAATCTTCACTTTCTATTGGAGGATGCCTGGAAAGACGAATTCTAAACATTTGGTGGAAATTTGCTTTTGACAGAAGACTGTCACCTTTACCATCAATAATATGCCTGATTTCTAGGCAGCTTGTCTGTCTGGCATCCTCACCTCCTGAGCTTTCAAGCAACCCAAGAAGCAGAAAAGGAGATGGTATTTTGGGAACAGCAAAAAATGGGTTCTTGCATCTGAGAGGGCTCGGCATCTCCAAGATCTGAAATCTATGCAATCAGGTACATAGACTGTGCCCAAATCAGACTGTGAGTCTTCATAGGAATTGCAGAAAAGTGTTCAGGAATTGAAGAACCCAATTTTTCATTTTGTGGTGATGTATCAATTGCAGCCTGTCTTATATTTGGCACATATTAATTACACCCTTTATTTTTTTCTTCTCATACTTTACTGGGTATAGAAAAATTCAACTCAAATACTTAAAATGTAAGAATGCCAAAAGACCAAGTCTGAGAAAAAAAATGAACTAAGGCTATTTATTTTTATACTAAGATCAGTTAAGATTACTGTTATGTAGAAACAAAAGCTTAAAAAAAAATCTGTCAGCAGAAAATTGTGGTTCTTTGAATTTCCGTGAAGTTTCCTTTTATTCTGCTACAGTTCCCAAATTAATGAGTGTTGAGGCAGCTGCATAAAAAAGCGTGCATCTTCAAAAGGTGATTCAAGTAACAGAACAGAAGAATGCGCTAGTCATTGCAGGGTAGTGGCATTTTGTGTTCTCTGAGCTGCCTTCTTCTAACTGGAGGACACTGATACTTAAAACAGAGATGCCTCCAGATAGCCTTTAATCTGTAAAAATCCTTATTCCTCAGATCATGTGTCTAATCAGCTTCGGCTTGTTTCTGGAGTCATAATTTCATAGGTGAATGAGCTTGAAAAATGTCTTCAGTTTGATAGGGACAAACAAGCTTTTGTTCCACACCATTGCCTTTTCTTTGCTCCTATTCACAACTCTTTGAATAAGCACATTTATTCCAGCCAGTATCAAGAAAATCTAATATGGGTTACAATTTCAGCTCATCTATGATGCCTTTACTTTGCTGTCATCAATTCTGGGGGACTAAAGATGAAATATGTAATTTTTTTAACACGACATACAAAACATTCCAGAATGAGCATAATCAACAAATCTCGTAATTGCTGACTGTGGGTTTTGAGAGGGAAGTTGCAAAGGCTGGAAGAACAGCATTTAACAGATGCTACTGCAGTATATGGCTGACTGCAAAGGAACATTTTAAAATTAATAATTAATGTGCCCTAGATAGACCAGAGGTGCATGACAGAACATGAATAATCGTTCTCCGAAAAGCTTCCAATCTAAATTTTAGAAAAGAAACCAAAAAGAAACCAACAAAAACAACGACAACAACAAAAAGGAATGATAGAGACATAGAGACAGATCTATTTAAACCTTTGTTGTTATTCTGTAATGTATATGAGATAAAGAACATAAGTTTGCCTATGCCTGGACTGTTTATTTTGAGCACTTAAGAGGAGAGTTTTCCAGGAGATCAGAGAGAGGGAGAATCAGACATTATATACATAGGACTAAAGGGGACCTCTCATGCAATTATATACCACCATACCATATGGTCTCTTTTATAAATGATCATCTCCATATGAAAAATTACTCCCACTGGGAGACAGTTCTAAATTTTGGAGAGATAAAATTCTGGAACTTTTGATTTCCAGCCTAAATGTACTTAGCCAGTTTATCTAGTTATTTTCATGCAAAAACTGTCAATTAATTTAAATGCTTTCTTCTTCACAGACTACTGAACAGGAATGGTAAACTACTTGCTTTTTCTTGATACTTCTATTATTGTTGTATATATATATACATATATATATATTAATTTTTTTAATTTTTATATATTATTTTATATATATTATATATATTATATTATATATATAGTATATATATAATATTATATATATATTATATTTAATTTTAAATTATATATATATATACATATATATATATATAATTTAAAACCTGTTGTAAAATAAATGTAGACAAATCTTCCAAAGATATGATTTCAAAAGGCTGAAATGCAGGCAAAACCTCCTTGGATTGTTTGAAGTGAATGGTTTTACCATGCTACCCTTTAAATTCTGGGAAGAAACAGAGAAGTCAGTTTGACATGAGAAATAAAATAGGGAGTCAAACCAGAAAAACAAAGAAAAAAGTCAAGCAAACCCACGGAGAGGTTTTTAATGGGTTGTCACGGAGAATGAGGAACCATTAGGTTCGCTCACTTTGATGTGGCCATTTTAATCTCTGCTTTTTAAAATTAAAAGCAGGTAAGGATCCAGCAGAATTCTGATCATGCCAGATGCCTTAAAGCAAAAACTGTGTGAACCAACAGAGAAAGATTTTGCAATCATCACTGTCACTGTGAAACCCCTTTTGGGGATAACAGTTATATGGGAGAAAATGCATCAAATTTAGAGGGGAAATGGATTTAATGTAGATGCTCACATTTCTCAGCCCATGAATCAGCGGTGCTGACTCATGCTCCCTCTTCTGTTGTCCATTGGAACTCCTTTTGTCTAAAAGACCTATTCCTCCCATTGTCTTGGTGATCTGTTGCTCTTTATTTATCTAACGGCACTAAAGGCTGAGCGTGCCCTTAGCTTTTTCGTCAGTGCTTTAGTGGAATATTACAGAGCTGAGTGAAGCTGTACAAATGTGGAATCCAGAGGTGATGCTCTCACTAAAGCTTTGTACAGTTGTACCTATAAAAAATTACTTACCCATGGATTGCTTGGCAATCCGCTTAGCCTTCTAAAGGCATGTCACCTTGTCAGTGTCCTGATGTCTGCTGCATTGCTGATCTCCCAGAGCTGGCAGCTTGTTTAAATTCAGACTGGGCTTCTCAAGACAATCCAACACTCCTTTATTAATAGGCATCTTGACTTGGAATGAATTTTAAGTAGATAATTATTTAGACCAACACTTCCCTATGCTGTCACAATTAGTGTTAGACATGTTTGTTTCTGCACTCCAAACACAATGCTGTCCTCAACAGAACCGCAAGCTACCTCAAATCCAGCGTGAAGCAAATATGAGGGCTGCTCCAAAAGTAATGCCTCTTATTTTATGAAGTTGGCCCACATTGTCAGAGGTAGATGTTGGTGCTATGACAGCAGAAGATGAACCTTCCTACCAATATTGTTACATTTTGTTGCCATATGACAAATGGCAGCAGCAGGGCAGTCAGACAAAATGGTATCTGGCCTGGACATGTGTAAGAAGCAAAGGTATGGAATTGAATTTCTCCATGTGGAAAAAATGGCACCCACTGACATTAATCTATGTTTACTGAACGTTTATGGAGACCAAACGGTGAATGTGAGCATGGTGAAGCAGTGGGTGATGTATTTCAGCAGTGGTGACAGGGACAGTGGGTGATTTTTGCTTGTGCAGGTATTTACAAGAGCATCATGCAGGCTCTTCTTCATCACTAGTGAAAATGCATAGATAATGGTGGTGCCTGTGTTGAAAAGTAGCGTTTTGTAGCTTAGAATTTGTTCTATCAAACAGTCTCATTGTTCTCTTTATCATTTCCATGGAAGCAAATAGGAGGCGTTACTTTCAGAGCGACCTATGTACACAGGTGTTATCATGTGCCAACATATTTCAACATAAGTCTTATTTTTCTCATCTAAGGAACTTCAGCCACTGATCTTATAAGCTTCTGCATTACTTGGACTTCATGGAAAATCTTATGACAGCTCGTTAACACGCAAGTGTGAGTGAGCCAGCGTAGTCTAAGCACCCCACTTGTGCTCAGTCAGAAGATAGTTATTTTTTTCATTATTATCATATCAGCCTCAGTGTCACAGATGTGACATAAAACACTGCGTACTATTCTTCAGTGCTGGCATCATTAGAAAAGGTTTTGGCAGCAGCCAGAAAGACAACAACCATATGCTGCTTCTTGGAGTTCTTGTTCCTTCTTTGCACCTAACCTCAGCTGCTAAAGAGCCATGATGTGCATCAAGGAATAACTTCAAAGAATACTTCTCAGTAATCATGTGGTTTTCAGCCTAGTAGTTATCACCACATACTGCACAATCTGTTGTTTCTCAGTTTCACGAGGCGCACGCTGACATGTAATCAGCTGTTCTGGCAGAAGAGTGGTGGTTACTCAATGACTTCCTCTCTGGGGCTGCCCAGTACTCCTTTTTCACTTTCAGTAGCCGAAAGTTACCTCCTTTTTAAAGCCATTTATCCACTGAAATTTTATTGGAACCGTATTTTGTTGCAGCAGAAATCTTTGTCAAACAACACAGTAATTGGTATGACCAAGGATGACAAATCTGGTCCCAAATGATTGATTTGAAATTATTACAGAAGCATTTTTCACATTAATGGTGAGCACAGTGTTGTGACATGGTGGGTTAAGTTACGTAAATCATACTGCAGTTCAATTGGTTTGAAAATCTTGAAAAATTTTAATGTTTTTTTTCTTTCTTTCTCCTCTTTTCCTTTTTTTTTCTTTTTTTTTTTTTTTTTAATAAATGGAGGTATTTTAAAACAGCAAGAAACCATACTTTTTTTTTTTTTTTTTTTTTTTTTTTTTTTTTTATATAATAATTCCATCCTGGAACATAAAACTGTAGATTTTCAACTTCTTTGTCCTTACAGCACTGGTGAAAAGAACAATGGAATCCCTTCAGCAAACCACAGCCTTGGAAGTGCCACTGAAGGTAGGAACAATTCTGAATTTCCACTGCTATCTCAAGGATATGTAGTTTTCTATGTTGTTGTCATTATATTAAGAATCTAGAAACAACCACTTTGACTTTCACTTCAACAGTTTCACGTTCAGACTTGCAGGTAATAGCTTTTTGGAATTACCATAAAAAATCTAAAGGAAAAATAATTGAAAGAAACTCAACCTCTATTTTGGAAAGCGTGACCGTAGTGCACTGTTTGTCTTAGCTATACAGCACAGTAATTTCAAAACCCATTTCATTTATTGCCATGGAATTTCTGATGAGTGTGGTAGAATGAGAAATAATGCCTTAATAAGCATTCTGAAAAGTGCATTCATAACAATATTGCAAAAGATCTTCAGTAATTTTCACTTAGAAAACTGTGATCTTTTCAGCATTTCTGAGTGGGTGCCTAACATGCAAAAATCACTCCTTCCAGTTTGAAGTATGGGCCATTTTCTATTTGAACTGCATCTGTAACAGTAGTACTCTGCGGAGTAGATAGCTAAACAGCTACTATCTCCATTTCCATTGTATCTAATTGTAATTCTTACATAATGTACCTATATTTTTCTCTCTACAAGGTTGATGCCCTTTACTTCTAGTTCACTGCTCAGCTGTTGTTGATAAGGGATTTCTGTCTCTGGAATCCCTAAACTAAGAGAGTAATTAATTGCCCAAGGGTTTGCTTTTACCTGAGAAACTGAATGCTTGGTGTTGCCAGATAACTCATTCTCCAGTATACCTGAATGAGATCTGGGGACAGCAACAGATTTTTTCTGTTTATTTCATAAATACTTACAACATACAGGCTTGTATTAACAGGAATCGTTGAAAAAGAAAACTACTAGATAAATTTTAGCTTATATTCTTACCTCCAGGTCTTCTATTTCAGCATTTGTGAAGCTGGCCTTCCCTTGAGATCTTATAGTTACATATTTCTGGCCCCCAGCGGAGACTCATTAAAATAAGTATGGCATTACTAATAATATATAAGGCAAATAGCAACACTGCAGTCCTTCCTTGATAGTTCTGGGATTCCCTTTTTCAAGGACACTGTCAAAGACAACTTTGTTCATATTTTGCCTGAGAAAGTCATTGATATGAAATAAAATATGAACAATAGGTTTGTAATAAAGACAGATGTTTGCACACAATAAGAATGCTCACAGTTAAACAGCCTAAATACCAGCTTAATGTCACCTATTGCAGACTAACCACTGGCAGAAGTTCATCAAACTACAGCACATAGCATGGTTCCTCTCTTATACTAGAAGTGTCTTAGCACACACTGACAAATGCACCTAGGTTCATTAGCAAATGGATTTTATATGCCACTCCAACGAGAAGAGTGATTCTCTTTTAAATGGCAACTGCATTTTAATAGGCAAAAAAGAAACAGTATTGGACAATAAGTAGTTGTCTGGGGTTTGGATATTTTTATAACCAGTAGAAGTATTTGGAGATGCATATTTTCTTACCTTGTCTTGGTCTCCTTTTCCCGAGTGAATTACCATAGAAGTCATGACACATTTTTACTCTTACTGCATGTTAGGCTACACGCATCATGAAGACGCTTCATCTTCCTCTGAAACATCCAAAATGGATCAATGGCAGAGATCACATACAAACCATAAAGTGTAAACAGTTTGATCTTAGTGAAGAATTTGAGACTGATCTTTTTTCAAAGAGTCTGTATTTTTGTTCACGTTATCTTTCTGTACAGTAAATACATATTTTAGGATTAGAGATGTTGAAGATGAAAAGATTTTTGTCAAATGCTCCTGCTTTCCTTCAGCACACTTGCCTCGACTAACTATGTATTATGTGCTCTATTAATATGAATGCTATCTTTTAATATGGAAGAAAGATATCATTAAAGTAGAGCACACATGTCATCGTAAATAGGGAGAGATTTCTTCTTCTTCTTTGAGGAAAAGAATTCTTTACCTTTGAAGTAGCTTCTTTTCCAAAATGTAGTCCTTGCTAATGAGGCAGCTTTCATGTCAGAATATCTACTGTACTACACCAGTAACTGCAAAACAAACTGAAAAAGAGCCAAGGCAACAACAAATATACCTCAGGTCTGTGAAAGTGGATGATTTTTAAAAAAGCAGTATCTTAATCAAAACTGTAATTGCAATAAAGTATTACTAGATGTGAAGAACATTTCACATAGGTAGGTGAGTAATCTAGAGTATTATCCATATCCAAAAGGAAAAGCAAAAATAGTAATCTTGCTGTAAGTGATGTGTTTGTTTAATTTTTTTTGTTGTTGTTGACAGGTTCCCTTGAAAGTGCTTCTTACCACTGGGAAATCATGGGGGTGTATGACAGAATTGCAGGAGATGTAAAACAGTCATCGGGGATGTTATTCAGTACCCGTACACCTCATTGGCCTGTGCTGATTCCTCACTGAATCACTAGGCAACAGCGCTGCTGGATCTTTCATAAGCACCTAATACTCTGCATGTGAATTTTTTTACTTCATTTTGTCTGTAGCCCTAGGCAACAGCAGTGAGATAAAACTGGATTTTACCAGTTCATTGTGTTTCCTTTAGCCAAGGTAACCAGCAGGGAGCTGCTTTTGTTCAGAGCTGAACTGCTACATGCAAGAAATGAAGCAAGACAACATTAACCCTTTGGGAACATGACAAATATATTTGAGTTAAATGCACGTTTAGATTATAATATTTAATATTTGGCGAAGTGCTTTTGTAAAAATACATATAATCTAGAATTAGAAAGACACTATTTGAAGCTGCTTAACTGTTGCATTCAGCTTATTCTATAATTTGTAAGTAAATGGCAGCTGCTGAATGTCTTTTTTACAAAGACTTAGAAAAGAGTTCCTTGTAAGTGAAGAGTTTTCACTTTACTTTGTATTTAGGATTTTAGAGTAAAACAAGTAAATGAAAACTGCATTAAATGTATTAAAAATAGCCAGATTGTTGTCAGTTCTATTAATTTCAAACTCAGATTGTACACTGTAGCTTTAGCATACTTTAGAGGAAGTATTTTAGTTTTCCCTGATTTATTATTTTTATTATTGATATAATACTAAATACAGTTTAGATAAATGTTGAGATTCAGACTTACACTTTAAAGGATTCAAGCTGCTTCTTCAGTGTTTGTATTTGTTATTGATACTTTATTGTTCTGTAGAGTTCATTCTTTAAGTAAATTTGTTTTATAAATATTTACTGTTTGCCAAATTCTGTCTCTGTGATTGTGGAAGATGAAACCATTCTCAGCATCTACTGATCATTTGGAAGTTGAAGTCAAACAAAAAATTTGTATGAGAAGTTCAGTATCTTTCAGCATTAGACCTCAAATGATCAAAGTAATACAATTCAAATTTTAAATGTGTTGAGTTACAGAGATTTTGCAACAGTTTTAATTTGTATCCTTAGACAATTTTGTATTATCCTTAAAGGCATTAACTAATAACTATTGCATATGCGTTGTACATAGCCTGTCAGATGAAGTGAGTTATTTCTAAAAACTCATTTGCTATAAAATTAGCAGTGGTCATGCAAGCAAAGTTAGAACATTTTACATATTAATCAGGGGCCTCTTTGGGTGGGAGTCAGAGAGATGATGATCATTGCTGGGCACCAGGTTTGCCATTTTTGATTTTGAAACTTTCCTTCCTGTTTTTAAATCTCTGAGACAACCATGCAGTAAGGGCACTGCTTTATCAGACACGTGAGCATTTGTTTTGTATAGGCTGGTGCGAGGACAAAAGACAAACTGTTCAAGCTTGGAGGGTTGTTCAAGCCCAGGATCTCAAGACAGTGAAGTTCCTGTACCCACAACTTGAAGGATGTGTACCAGGAACTCAAGATACCGTCTAGTACTCCAGATTCACTAGTAAAGAAACGGTGTTTTTTTCCAGTTGTAGGCCATGAGTGAACTAGTATATATAGATTTATTGTGGAAGAAAACTAAACCTCTTTGATGTTATACTTGCAATAATCATCAGATTATTCATGTGCTATGAAACATTATAGATACTGGGATGCATTCTTCAATCTTTCTCTTCTCTATGAATAGCCAGATAGTCTTCACTGCTTGCCCTATTCCATTTTGTTAAGTTATCAACTTTTGGGGACTATCAGGTTTTTCAGAACTCACTGAAGTGGACGTCAAAGCTTCTGTCTGGATGAGTTTTTAACTCATGAAATTCCACATACTGAGAAGAGTGCTCACTCTCCAGAGCAATTGCTTTTACTTTGCATTCCATTCTTGCTGCCTTCCATCCTAGACTGCAAAATAGGTTTTAGAAACACTCGTATATTTCAATTTGTGGAATAACAGAATTATTTTTCTCTTTACTGTGGCAATCATTTCCTTGAACAAACTGCTTGAGGTAGTGCAGTGTTTGCTATTACTTTCCCAACAAGCATTGCTAGACAAGGCATCAGTTCTACCTCACTTGTGAACTAATGTATGTATTACTATAAATTCAGAGCAGTACAGTTTTTCCTAAACCCTTGGTAAGAGACCCTGCAGTATGCCTGAATCCAAAGAGCCGTTATGGAGAAGCAGGGCCAGCCCTGACCACAAGTTTCCTCCCAGATAAATGCAGGTAAAAACATTCTGTATTTGATAATTGCTAGGAATTCCTTTCAGCTGGCACAATAATTTCACACCACTGAATTCAAGAATCTTATTATTACAAATGACCACTTTTTCATGTTATTTTGTTTTGGCACGTAGGGGATTGCAAAACATGAGTAGGCTGGAGCAGGAGCAATCATAAGAGCCCTTTTCAATCTCTAAAACTCTCGGTTTGACCTCTAGAATGATTCTCTCTCAAGATCTATGAAGCAGTACTGGGGGAGCAACAAACAGAACATCTGTTTGAAGTGTAGAGAACTCTACATAGGTAGGGCTTAAGAGATATGAGGAAACAGAATACAGAGAAAAACAAATATATATATATATATATATAGGTGGCTCTCCATAGCTTTAGCAAGTGGAAATTTCCCTAACTGATTCTCTGAACAATGTAAGAACCCTGTTTGAGCTGCTTTATATCTTTGGCTTTAGTTCATGTTTGTCACATAGGAGAATGGTGAAGGAATGATACTTGAAAACCCTTTAACTCATTTTCTGTGAGAAGTGTAATAGCACAGCTATTTTGCTGGTATTCGCATGGCTGTGGCAGGACCAATATATATCTGTGAGGATTTGAATCTTTATGTCCACATACCACTGTGAAACAGTAACACACTGATCTTTTATGACCATAGTTGATCCAAGATGACCATAGTGAAAACCATAGTAGCTAAAGTTCAAGAACTGGTCTCAGATGTTATTTGAGCAACACATTCACATGTGGGAAGAGAAAACACAGTGCACATTGACATATTTTTTGAAAATGAAAGTAGGTTAAGAAGGTGAATCTGCTGGAGCATCCAAGACATGGTTTATTCTTAGTATTGATTAAGAATAATCCATTAAAAGTAAATTCATTTCCTACGTGGGAGTCTACAGACGTGGAATCTTTTAATCTGATCTGAAAATAAGGCCAAGAAATGAGTTGAAAATTGAATTACACCCTCCTGATATATTTCTTCAGTGTCCTAACATATCTCTTCTGTCTTTCCCACTGAAGACTAGACTAATCCCTGAATAACCTGGTCTTGTCCTCATCACTGATCCCACATGGAACAGGAGGTGCAGTGAGAAAACTCAAGCTTGCCCATAATTCTCTGTCACTCTTCAGCTGAATGGCAGTAGTCATACGCATGAAAAGCAAAACAGAATTTCCTTTCAGATATTCTCCTGTACCTCATTAAAGTACACAGAGCTGTACCAGAAGAAGCCCCAGAAATGTCTGGGGATTTCATTCATCCTTCCCACCTGTGTTGCCTCATTCTGTGCCAGCATTTACTATATTTCCTGGCTCACACACTCGCTTCTGGTTGGCATACTTCCTTTTGCTATTAGCAGGTTGTCAGAAACATTCAGAAAGTGAAAAAGAATCTGTTCTCATTTCTACTATTCTGCAGTAGTTTGTAGGTAGAGCATGTCTGGAATTAAAAATAAGTTCCAATTATATACCATCTTTTGCTTTCCTGGGAAAACTTCACAGCCTGATTGACTTATTTCTACTGAAAACAGGTTCTCTTAAGACATCTTAGAAGTGCATTTCTACTGGCCATTTTTGTATCTAGTAGCAATTGTTATCAATTATTATTCTCTATAAGCCCAAGCAATCTGTTATCTTGTTTGCTCTCTCAGTCATACAGACGCGTGCTTTGAATCCTGGAGCTCCACATTCTAACCGTATATTTCCAGGTTTTGGTATGTTTATCCATATCCCATTGAAGACTAATTGCATGGTTAATATATAAGCTCTTTCATCCTTACCTTTTTAAAGAATTACAGAATATAACGTTGTTTGAGTTGGAAGGAACTTTTAAAGGTCCCATTTCTATTTTCACTGATAGCTTAATCCATTGCTTACCCTTTCCCTGCACTTCAGTAGAACTCATACTAATAATAGTAGAAAAGTTTTTGGTTTTTTTTTTTTTTTTTTTTTTTTAAATTTAAAGTTACACATCTTTCCACTTCTAACCTTTGTGGCTTTAGCTTACTATGGTCATCCATTTGGAATGGCATTTATGAGACTCCTTTCTGGCTACATAGTTTTTTTTACTGTTGTCATTCATTTCATGATCAGCTTTCCATGGCATCAAGAATTGCCTGAGGAAGTTCTCTTTTTCCCCCTTAGTTTTTTGGTGGATTCATTGGCTGCACTGAATTTCACACTTTCTAATTATTCAGAAGTGTTAGGCATCAGATTACAAGCTTATTTTCCAATCTGTGTGCTAAGCAGAGAATGGTGCTTACAGACTCCTGATAATCATCCTCCATCCTTCCCTCAACTGACTGCTGCTTCTCACATTGCATTTCTGCACTGAATTTCTGAAAGAATGAAGCAAAACTAAATACCTTCCTGAATTACCTTAGCCTCCTTGCACAGATCCATTTGTCCACCTCCATTTGGTGGACAGCAAGTTCATTGCTGAATTACTGTAAATGTCTTCCTGGCACCTGGGTAGGTGAAGAACACAAGTGTCCTCAGGATTTCTGCCAGAAGCTTTTTCATCTTCTTTTCTTAACTCTCATCCATACTTCAGTGCCAGCTGAAACTCATGATTGGCTCCAAATTGCATAAGAACACCACCTATAAGAGCTTTATTTCTTCACTGAGTGAACAGCATAGCAGTTTGAAAGCTGGGCCACCCTACTTGCCTGCTACCAATCCCAATCTGTTTCATCTTCCCATGCATTCACTTTTACTCTGACGTTAAATGAAATAAGCCTCCTAGGGAGTTTTTCCTTTAAATATAAAGAGATTTTGTAACACTTGAGCTAGGGGAAGTCACCATCTTCCCTTGAGGCCTCTGTGGGTCACAGATGAGGTTAGAAAAAGTGCTGTAAATGTGGTGCTTCAGTTTGCGCCTCCCTCTGTTGTGCTGCTTATGGTACTGTGGTTTGTGATACAGTTGTTTGTTCTTTTGCAGAAGATTTCTTTTAGTTCTTTCACTTGTTCTTGTGTATGATCTAAGCCTTAACCTTTCCATAGCCTTCTCAATATCCCTTAGTACCTTTTTCTTCCCCCAGAGTAATCAGATTGTTATTCACCTCTTTAGTTCATCTTACACCTTTTGTCTCAGTCACTTATTGTTCCCAGATATATTTACAATTTCACAACAAAACCAGTATTTTATGTTAGTGTTGTCTCCTTTCATCCCTAGGTATTTTATTTATTTATTTATTAAGATTTAAATCATATTTTAGGGTTTTTTTTGCCAATAGGCTTA